ATGGAGAAATGGCAATCGCGCTAGTCGCGGCGGCCATTTTGCCGGCGTCTCGCGCGTGCGCAGTTGATCGGCGCCATTTTGCCGAAGATCGTTATAGGGGAATACACTGGAATGAACTAATCCTCCTAGTGGCTTGATGTATATAGTGTATCCCAGGCAGGCGCCATGATATAGGTGGGGAAAGAGAAACACACAACTTTGTCAGACAGCAAAATGAACTGCTGACAAAACGATCTATGCTGAACTAAGTGATGATACAAAAAGAAACATTGTACTTATCCAATGACATAGAGTGCACACCAGAATGAACATATCCACATGGAACTGGATAATTTGGTGGCATGAAGTAAAAAAATATATGTATATGTATGTAAATACTGATTATAAAGTTTACATAGTGTACAATTAAAGGGGATTGCTCCATTATTTTACTGTTACTTTGTTTCAGCAAAAATGAAAATAAGAAAATCATAATAATGAAAAATTGTGATGTAAACAATTGTAAAAAAGTTGTGCGATAGCCATTTCTACTACAGTAAATAGATGAGTGTCAATACATTAAAATACGATAAGTTTTATTAAATATATATTTAAAATAGGTCAGTACAGTGTAATATATTTCATATGGTCAGCAAAAAAAAATTCAATAATAATGCATAAAAATGGTACTTCAAATACTGTAATATAAAATGTATAATAAACATTATACCTAAAAGACTAAAAAAGGTGGAATAAAATTGAATTCTCAATGACACAATAATATTGGTATTGATAAAACAGAGGTGTAGTCCACCGCATCCATTCATAAAAGAAAAAATATAAAAAATATGTCAGGGCAAAGAAAGGAATGATCCCAGGGTACTGTAAATGCACATTAGCTGTCATCGATAAAGCAATTCAAATCAAATTCAATGTTAAGACCTTTTGGGTGTAAGGATCCAAGGTCATATATCCACTTGGACTCTAATTGTGAGATAGCTCTTTTCTTATTTTGGCCTCTCCAATGTGCATTTATCATTCCTATACCCATGAAAATTAGTGACGAGGGATCTTGGTTATGATGCGTTTTATAGTGCAGGGATAACGAATGGTCCTTGTAGCCCTTTCTAATATTGTTCACATGTTCTTTTAAACGGTCCTCAATCGTCTAGTTGTTCGTCCAATATATTGTAAATGACAGGGACACTGCATTAGGTAAACAACATATTTACTTGTGCAGGTGATACAATCGTCAATCTTAAAGGTTTTACCATTTGATGTAGAGTTAAAACTTGTGTGTCTGCTTGTAAACCTGCTGTTAGTGCAGATCATACACTTTTTACATGGGTAAAAACCTTTAATCTGTGGGAGAAGAAAGGAGTGTATACAGGGGGATCAAGAACATTTGGGGCTATTCTATTCCCAAGGGGAGTGGCTTTCCTAAAAGCAATCTGCGGTTGATCTGGTAAAAATTGTCTTAAAACTGGATCTGACATCAGAATCTTCCAATTGTTGCGAATTATCCTGGTAACTGATTTGTATTGGGTTGAATAGTTTGTCACAAAAGGACAGACTCTTTCAGGTCTCTTATTAATATTCTTTTGCAACATCACATCTCTGTTGGAGATGCCTACTTCTGTCATGGTTTGTGTTAAAGTATTTTCATCATAACCTTTCTCAAGGAACTTGGTTTTAATGATGGCAGCCTGTTTATAGTATGTATTGACATCAGTACAATTGCGTCTGATTCTGGTAAACTGTCCCTTTGGTATATTTTGTAACCATGCCGGGTGGTGGCAGCTTTCCAAGGGAATGTAACTGTTTCTGTCAGTTTTCTTGAAGAATGACTCAGTTATGATTCTTCCTTCCACATTTAGCAAACTCTTTATAAGATAACTTTAGACACCATGGGTTGTCCCACTAAATTCAATATTATATGAGGTTAAGGGGTCTCCTGTCGCACCTCCTGTGAATGCTGGAAGCCCTCATCCGTACCAAACCTACAGGCATGCACACATTTTAAGCACTTTAATATGTTTTGTTTTTATGAATTAAACAGTATGAAATTGTGATGTGAACCTCCTTTATTGTACAATGTTTTGATGGTTCTACAGTTTTGTCGAACCTTTCTAAAACTGAGCTTGTGATATTTCCTCCTCCCCGATCCCCTCCCCATGACTTTACCATTGAGATCAATGGCACAACCATTGGTCCCTCCACACTTGCCAGGGTACTAGGTGTAATCCTAGACTCTGACCTCTCCTTCAGCCCCCACATCCAATCACTGTCTCAATCTTGCTACAACTTGACACATCCTGGATGACTTTGGCATCATTGTCTCTGCTGTCATCAAGTCACTTGCTGGTGCTCTCAACTGTAGGAGCTTGGGTTTTAATAGGCAAACCTGTAGTTGAATTGCAACTTAGGTCAAGACTCTGTTGAAGGAACATAGAATCAAAGTCTTTTGGATATTTCTTCAAGAATCAAGTGGAAGGATATTACTTTTCTGCAGATTGGAAAACCTATTGAATTGCAGTTCCTTAGAGACCAAGGTTCAAGTGGTATCTTGGTAGTATTTTGCTATGGGAGAACAAATAAGATTTTTGTTTAAATTTCTCCCCAGGTAGTCATGCACCACATCATCTATTTTTAATTATTAAGTAGAGACTCATTCAACACACAACCCCTCTGAGCAGAAGCTCAGGGGCTCGCAATGCCCAGTTCAATAACTGAGAAACCTGGATCATTCATAGCTCTAATTAAGTCTTTGATGAATTCAGAGAAGAAGGAGAAAGGTGAAATGAAGACATAATGTTCCTTCTTATACCTTGAAGTCACTTCCGGCCCTTTCTGTTGGATACTGTAAGGAATCGCTCTACAACTGGGTTCATGCCATGTGACGTGTCTACAGTAGGTAGCTAAATTCTGGTAGATGTTGGTCTTCCTTAGCAATCTCAAGCTCGAGAAGAAGATAACTCAGTTCCTGGAACTTGTGGTTGTCTCTGTTGGACAATGTAGGAAAGTTCATTAATCCTTTGAATAAGGTAAGCTCTATTACTTCGAGACTGCCATATTTCTGCTGTAATCTCTCCCATGCATGATTGGGGAATTTGCCATTTTCATGAAGGTGAACAGTTTTAAGTCTCTTAGCACAGTCTGATGATTGATGGCCTAGCCATCTGTTTAGCATATCAAGTTCTTACATAGGTGGGATGCTAAGGTCCTGGACTACTAACTTGAAAAATAGGCAGTTAGTCACAGTAACAAGTATGGTGGGATTTTTATGTTTCAACCACTATACTTAAAGGATAACTAAATCCAAGAAAAAATTGTAATGCAGCTTGCTGGTCCTTAGATGTGCTGGCTGCTTTTTATTTGTGTTAGAACAAATGACACCAAATATAATTTAGTTTTAAGAAGGCAATGTTGTATGTTTTAGTGACGGTTTTCTTTTACTTGCTCAGCATAACCTGAATACTTACTGTTTGTTCTGTATGCTTACTTTTGCAATTAAATGCACTACCTTTTATGTTCCAAACAGATTGCAGTTATAGCTCTTATAAGAAGATCCATATGGTGCACCGTGCAGTTTGGCTGTTGTTTATGGTCTTGTATGCCAGTCCTGATAGCTTACTTCACCTATCAGGACCTTAGAGGATTTTACCCATTTTCTAGCCACTGTGCTATGAAAGAATATTTGCCTAGCACATGGAACTTTCCATATAGAGAAATGAAAAGCACACCAGGCTTTTCTCTCAGTAATTAATGCAGTCTCAGCAGAGCTGGCATACACTGTGTTTAAGTGAGAATACCATTAACATCTGGGGTTGTTAGAAGATTTGAAAAGATGACAGAATTGGGCCATGTGCTTACCAACAGCAGCTAATAATGGAAGAGGGAGCTGTTATATAATGTACAGCCCTGCATTCGACACACTCTGAAATACACATATCAAAAGGCCTTTTCTATGCATAATCGCTCCATTCATGTGTTTAGGGTCAAATCTGTTGTTGCTGTATATTTTCATTAAGAATTCTGAAAATATTTCTGAGATTTTATGCCTAGTTCAAAGCAAATCCTTTTCTTGGACTTTAACTCTTGAGAAACTCTGAACTTGGTGCATATTGCAACGGGGTATAAAAATTAGATATGAAGCAAAATATAGAAAAATGGGGGAATATACCTCCAATAGTGAACTAATGCAAATAACTAACAAAATAAAATCTCTCCAAATGTATGACAAAGTTTCATTAAATAACGCTTCATAGGACATTAAAAAACACATATCACATATGCATTGGAAATAGATTTACACAAGGAGTAAGCAGATGAATGTTAGCATATGGATTCTACATAATACACATCTTGCTTGAGGTGATTGTAGCCGTATTAGTACATTTGCGACAGAAACAGTTAAGTACTGTCCGTGATACTTTTTTTTTATTTGCACTACAATTTTTCCTCAGAGATTGACGTATTTTAACATTCTGCTAATACTTTATGCATTAGTACTGTTTGGACCTTGGAGAAAGGGGTACATTCCGAAAGCTTGTCCTGAAAAATTGTATGTTAGTGCAAATAAAAAAGGAATCAAAGACATTACTCAACTGTTTCTGACATAATACACAGAGATGAGAAACGAGGTCAACATATTGTGCAGAAAGATCTGCTGCTTTAGGACTCCTCTGGTCTCAAATGTGTAAGGTATATATCCTAATGGCTTATGGATTCTGTAAGAGACCATATTAATCATTACAAAAAATAAACCGAAATATTGTATACAAAAATCTAACTTCCACCACCTGACATATACATGCAAGGAAAAACAAAAGAGAAAGGGGGGCTGGGGGGGGTGAGAGGAAAACACAACACCCCCCCTTTCTCTTGTTTTTCCTTGCATGTATATTGAATGTATAAGTGGCGGAGGTTGAATTTTTTAAATAAAATATTGAAGTTTATTTGTTTTATTGATTATCATAGTCTATCTGTCAGGGCAGGAACGATGGAATGGGCAGGCAGGCCTATGGTAGGGTCACGCAGCGACTAATGACAGCCACTACCCACAGACCAGAGTCTAAGCCCCATGCTACCCTTCACCAGAGCCCCTGATGGTGGGGATGGACTTGACGCAGCCTGAGACCAGGTCGTGGCCCCCGAGTAACCCCAGCTGCGGTAATGACTGCCGCCAATGGCGTACAGCTGGTGGGAGCTAGATGGGAACACGTGTAGTGTAGTCAGACTGTAAGGGACCGCCCGGCGGTACCTCTAGCAATCCACTGGTCAGGTGCTTCCAGAACGTGGAGTCTAAGTCCCGGACCACTTGTTCACCAGGGCCCCTGATGGTGGGGATGGACTTGGAGCACACCGAGACCAGGTCGCGACTACTGGGCACACCCACCAGCCGAGGGCTCCCGCAGAGTAAGAGCCTGATATGAGGAGGTCGGGCGATCCCGACGGGATGGATGGCTGAGCAGGTGCAGGGTCAAACGAGCTGGGTCAGGAGCCGTGGGGTCTGCGAGGTACAAAACAGCGGGCAGGGAATAGTCGGGTCACACGCCAGGTCAGCAACAGTAGATCAGAACCAACAGGGGGCATTCAGGAGAGAGGTCAGGCAAGCCAAGGGTCAGGACAGGAGAGAACAGCAATGTCAGGAGCAATCCGGGTCAGCAACTTATCAAAAACACAGGTACACAGATCAGGGAACAGGAACAGGAAAAGACCAAACGGCAACCAGTGACAGCTCAGGGCGATTTAAATACCGCGCCCTGCGCTGTCATTGGTGCCCGGCGCGCACCCGTGTCTCCTAGTGTGCATGTGTGAGTACGTCGCCGCGGCCGGCCTGGACCTAGTGCCCGCATTCCCGTGCAGGGCGGCGCACTGCGCCTGCGCCGGGACCAGCGCCGCGGTGATCCCTGACACAGACATACCGGGTCAATAACAATGGAGCAGACAGTACTAGACGGTAGGCAAAGAATACTCAGGTCACGGGCCATGTTCAGCAACGGGAGGTCAGGTAAAGGGTTAAAGCAGCGAATAGTCTTGTCCAAGCCGAGTCGGTTACCAGGAGAGCAACGAGAACAGCACAAGAGCTTGCGACAAGGGAACATACAGGACACGAATGCAGAGAGCACTTGCAGACAGCAGGTTTAAATGTGATCAACCACACCCTTCTGAGGAGGAGCCGCAGAAGCCTGAAGACATAAAGGTTCCCACCATGCTTTGCAGAAACCTAAGATGGATGCCAGCACATGGAGATGCACAAGCTCTGAGGAAAGGTAGGACCTTGACACTATCTTATACAGCAAGCGCTACCGGTGTTTTTAAAACGTCCAGTGTGCATGAGGCCTTAAAGTTCCTGATTTTTCTATGTTTTGCTCTGGGACTTGGCTTTGGGGATGATACCTCCTTTAGAGCTTTTTGAACTATGATACACAACACCGCACCTTTAACTGATTTGTTTTAAGAATTATATATTCTTTTCAAATCATTAGTAAGACCTCATCTGGAATATGAAGTTCAGTTTTGGGCACCAATTCACAAAAAGAACATTGGGGAACTGGAGAAAGTACAGAGAAGGGCAACCAAACTGATAAGTTCAGCTATGAGGAAAGATTAAAGGAACAAAATTTATTCTCTCTTGAGAAGAGGAGATTAAGGGGGGATATGATCAACATGTATAAATACATCAGTGGTTCATATAGTGAACTCTGTGTAGAGTTATTCACCCTGAGGACATCACAGAGGACAAGGGGGCACTCTTTACGTCTGGAAGAAAAAGAAATGCAATCTCCAAACACAGAAAGGTTTCTTCACAGTAAGAGCTGTGAAAATGTGGAATAGACTTCCTCAAGAGTTGTTTCTGGCCAGCTCAGTGGATTGCTGTAGGAAAGTCCTGGATTCTTTTTTAGATACACAGAATATAACTGGATACTAACATTTAAAGGTAAAGTTGATCCAGGTAATATCCAATTGCCTCTCAGGGGATCAGGAAGGAATTTTTACCCCTGCAGGAGCAAATTGGATTGTGCTTTGCTGGGGTTTTTTTTTGCCTTCTTGTGGATCAACTGTGGGTATAGGATTAACTTTTTTTTTTTTTTTAATGGTTGAACTTTTGTCTTTTTTCAGCCAGGCTAACTATGTAACTATATATTGATGCAATGATATTTATTCTGGTGGAAGACCTCCAGATGACATAATAGGCCACATTGGCCTATGCCAGTCCACAGACTTTGCTGTAGTTTCTGAGCAAAGACCTCAGAGATATTTTTTTCCAGGGTGTTAGTAAAGAAAAACGTAGGTAGCAGTCACTTTGCAGAAAATGTGGACATTTTGTTTTAACTGCAAAAAATGGGGAAAAGGGTGAGAAACTCAAGGTACCCCAAACAAGGTTGATTTCTGATTTTTTTTTTTCTAGATATTTCCTCTGCTCTCACAGACTTTGCTGGCTAGTGGCAACCCTAATGAACTGCTGCTCCTTGGAGACCAAGGTTCAAGTGGTATCTTGACAACATCTTTCTAAGGGAGAACAGCTGAAAAGATTCTTGTGTTTAATGTTCTCCTTAGCCAGTCACTCAACACTTCTCCTACTTTCAGTCATTAAGTTGACCAGCATCTTGTAATAATCTCTCAGAAAGGGAGACCCCTCAAACACACAACCCTTCTAGGCAGAAGCTCAGGGGAGAGAACACTTGAGAAAGGTTGTCCCAAATATTACTTACCTCTATATCTCAGGGCCCTGGACACACTCATCAGTGGATGGCTGGGTGTAAAATGTTTATACCTCAGCTTGTTAAGCTGGGTACAGACGATCAGAAAATCGGAAGAAAATGTCTATAGGAGGAACGATCATTTGATTTTGATATATTGTGTACACAACTTTTGACATCTGATTCAGACTTTCCAAATGAAAAATTTCCGAAGAGACAAACTCCAAAGTTTTTCTCGTATGTGAACAGAACTAACTATTTTCATTTAATGTGTACTGTTTTCATATTAAAAAAATTGGATACAAAAGACTGCTCATGATCAGAAACAATAAACAACAATAGTCTATGCTACAAAATTTCTATGTTTAAAAAATAAAAGCCTTTGTCATTCAAGAATTTTCATACAATTAGTACCATCCTTGGGTTCGACTTGATGTGAAACATTCAGGAAAACCTGACGATGTTTGCCCGATTTTCTTATAGTGTGTACCCAGCTTTTGTCCTTTTGACACAGACTGCTGAAGCATACTCAACTGTAGTTGGCAGAAGCAGGGAACAACATATGTTCAGACAAACTCAACAGTAAAGGGACACTCAGGGTAGCTGCAACGTACCTGCTTCATGTAGACCATAAAAATACTAAAACACTCACTGCACATACCAAGGTTCTTGCAATGGTATGTGTGAGATTGGCAGCAAATAATCTCTAGATCATTCTGTGTCCACTTCTGTCCAAGGTGCAATCTGCTGACTTTGTATTACCCATTTTAAAAAGCTTTTTCCCCAACACACCAATTTCTGGATAGGTAGAGCAGGAGCATTCTGTTTGTTCGTCCTGCTTTTCATGTTGATACAGCCCCTGACTTTAAGCCCCATCCCTTTACTTCACAGTTGTAGTTGACTATATATGTATTGGAGGAAATGATGCAGTAAAGGGATAGCTGAAAATCTCATCTCAAAGAGGGAATCACCCAAGTCAAGATTACCTTGCCCAATATAAAGCAGGAAAAGCTCTAATTTGCTATCTCCACATATATTTTAATGTCGTCTTTATGTTTGTATTAACATTAGAACTCTGAATTCAAAAAAGCCTATGAAAAAGGTACCAGGGGCATCTCATGGGGCCCCCTACTGAGCCCCCATCTCATGGGGCCCTCGGGCAGTGCCCGAGTTTCCAAATGGTCAGTCCGCCCCTGACTGTAACTATTGTTTTTATTAGTGTAGTACTCCCTTTTTAGCTGATCGGGCCTGGGGTCGATTCAAGAGACACTTACCAAACAGTTAAAAAAAAGTTTGAAAATTGTGAACATTCCCCAAACCCTATTAAAGTGTATAGGGTGCAAATCCTGCAAATAAAATTTGACCATTTTAAGGCTAATAGGAACAGAATTGTCAAACAAAGGACATGATGAGCTGGGCACTGCCAGGGGGAACACGTATCAATGTAAAATATAATGTTCAGGAGGGAGCTGCACTTTTCAAAAAGATTTAAAGGACAACATTAAAAATGCTCAATTCCTTCAAATGATTGGGGATGCCTTAAACCTTCCTGTACTACACCATGTATTAAAGCAACAGTGACATTTACAAAGAAAAATGCTATTTAAATTGCTGGTTTCAGGCTGCTTTGTTCTTTTTAAAACAAGCAGCTATAGATTCCGTTCAGCATTTATACCAGACCCTTTTCCATGATAATGGTCTGATATGAATTTTAAGGAGGACCCCATGCAAAAAAAAAAAAAAAAAAAAGCACGCACAGGCTCCCACCCAAACAAAAGGCATACCAGATACTTATTTAAGCATGCAACCTGGCTGGCCAGGAAAGTGAGAGGGGGCAGCAAGCACATGTTCCCCCAAACCATACCAGGCCGCATGCACTTAACATGGGGAAGGTGCCTTGCCAGGGGGATCCTCTGGCAAAACACCATGTCTCCATGTTGATGAGGTTAAGCGCCACATAATCACATCCCTTGCTCTGTGGATGTGGAGGTCTGCAGCAAGGACTTATTGGAATCTGGAAGCCCTCTTTAAAATAATGGAGCCCATATATATCCATTCCTCCCTATATGAATGAGTAAGGGGTAGACCGTACCCTTGGTTACTTATTCACAAAAATTTAAATATTGAATAAATACACACACTGTACATAGAGTCCTTTATTAAAATAATAAAATGATGTCCCACAATGTCCAAAAATAACATTCCACAAAGTAAATGTCCCATGATCATGCTCTCCTGCCGATCATCTCTCTGTGAATAACAGCAAAGCTTCAAAGCTATCATTTACAGTGTTACAGGACACCAGCGGCAGCAGCCACATGACACATCCCCAGCACTTTTCACAAGGGTCCGGAGATGTGTCGTTGGGCAGATATGGTCTTCCAGGCAACACAATGAGTCTGGAAGACAAAAGATCTTCCAGAAGGTCTCCCTATATATTTATACCCTTCTCCAATATGCACCACTGGCAATAAACCTCCCAGTGGTTGGCCAAGGAAATTTAAATATTCATAAATCTGGCTATTGGATCTTCTTACACTATTGCCAGGGACCATCCCAAACAGCAAGTGGAAGCAAACAATAATAAATCTGTAGGAACACCTACAGAAAGTAGAACTCAGTTCAGGCTTAGAAGGACTACGGCCCAGTGGCATTAAATTAAGGATAGAGACACTCTTACTTGGGCTGGGTCCCAACATTAGTTTTGGATAAAGTAGGTGATGGTTACAATTCCTCTTTCTTTAACAGCAGAAAATGGTTGATATCCCTGTCAGTTGTCTGCGTGCGATTGCAAGGTTCTATCTTCACTTTCTGTCTAGGGACACAACAGCAAATGAGAGGAAATCTCTCCAAAGTAAGGAGAAGTTCCCTCTTAAAGCAATTGTTACTAGAGCAGGAAGATTTTCGCTCACCTCCTGTTCTGGTCAGAACTTTAACTTTTTAAATTTCCGAATACTTTTTATGCCACTGACAGTGATCACCAGGCCAAAGAGAGAGGGTGAAACTCCCCAGTGGAGACACCAAAAACAATAACCACACAATAGGGGTTCTTTACAGAATTGGCAAAGGCGAAGGTAGGAAAGGTACCCACCTTAGGCACATTTCTGGAGGAGCACTGCTGAGGTGGGAGACATTCCTTCTGCATGGCCTGGTTGCTTACACATCTCAACCAAAGGGTTTTGTTTGGAAGCCAGATAGTACTAAACAGCTCCAGATTTGTCAATACAATTAAAATACTCCTGTCCCTCTGATGAACAGGGACAAGCTAGCTGAAGCAATACATGGACACAGGACATGCCGTCCTATGCTTGGCTTTATTTGATCCTTGGGGCACTATTCCTCCCACTGTCATTAACAATGGGGCATAATTCCTGCCACTGACACTAACAATGTGGCACTTT